TCTCTCTCTCTCTCTCTCTCTCTCTCTCTCTCTCTCTCTCTCTCTCTCTCTTTCTCTCTCTCTGGCTGGTTCCACATCCTGTTAGCAGCTGTCCTTGGAAGTTATCCCAAAATTCTGGCATCTCCATGCAGAGACTTGATGTTTGGAACAGTTACTGTGAGCCATGACAGAAGCTTGTCCCTAATCTCTACATTATTTAATTGTCTTAGTCGGTGTTTTATTGCTGTGAAGAGAAACCATGACTACAGTAACTCTTACGTTGTGGAATAACCTATTTGTACACTGTGAAGATGTCACTCTGATTGGTTTAATAAAAAGCTGAATGGCCAATACCTAGGCAGGATTTCCAGGCACAGAGGATGCTGGAAAAAAAGGGTAATGTCACAGGGAGACATCAGTATGCAGAGCAAGCAGCATGGGCATTACAAAGTAAAGGTAACCAAGCCACTTAAAAGAACATAGATTAAAAGATATGGATTAATTTAAGTTATAAGAGGTAGTTAGAAACAAGCCTAAGCTATTGGTCAAGCTTTCCTAACTAATAGGAAGTCTCTGTGTGGCTATTTGGGAGCAGGCCGGTAGGACAGAAAATCTGCCTATACTTCTATAAAGGAAAACATTTCATTGGGGCTGGCCTACAGTTCAGAGGTTTAGTCTATTATTGTCATGTCAGGAAGCAGGCAGCATACAGGCAGACATGATGCTGAAAAAGTAGCTGAGAGTTCTACATCCAAATCATCAGGCAGAAGGAAAAGCAAAAGACACTGTGCCTGACCTGAGCATTTGAAACTCCAAAGTCTACCTCAAATGACACACTTCCTCCAACAAGACCACAGGTACCCCAACAAGGCCATACCTTCTAATCTCTGTCAAGCATCATCACTCCCTAATGACTATGCATTCAAATATATGAGTCTATGGGGGCTTCTTATTCAAACCATCACAACTGCTAAATGTGTTGGGGGGTTGGCATTACAGGAATTTTGGAGATGGATTCAAATGTTAATAAGCCTACTTATCAGATTAATGAGATAGTGAAGGCACTCAAAATCATTGAACTAGCTGTGTGCATGACATGAGAAACTCATTTGCATGGCCCAGTGGTTGCTAGGGTCAAATAAGATAGTGTAGAACAGAATGTTTTCGATGCAGTAGTCTGTATCATGTCTAGATTCCCTTACCTTCTAAATCAAAGGAAGAAATGACCTCAGATTAGGATTTTTTAGACATAATACTTGTTATTGTATGTGGCATTCAATTCTCAGCAGTGTAGTTGAATGGGGTGTTAACCAACAGCCAGTTTAGAGAAGAGAACTCAAGATGGAAGAAACATTCAGAAATAAGAGGAAAGAGGCTGAGAGTCATAGGTTATGTGCTTGGTACACAAGTGTGAACATCTGCATTCAGCTCTCTAGCAGACACATACAAGTTGGGGGGTACTTGCCTATAACCCCAGGGTAAGAGAATGGGGGAGGGTGGGACTGTCTGACTGAAATGGTAAGCTCCAGGTTCAGTGAGAAACTAAGTCTCAAAATATAAAGTGGAGAAGTAACTGAAGACAGCACGCAGACATCAACCTCTGACCTCCACATGTACCTGCATTATCTTGCAGGTAAACACTCAATGAGAACTAAGGTCAGACTGTCAAAGGACAATTCCCGTGTGAAGGGTCAGGTCCAGCCGGTTTTCGTTGTCATTGCTGTTGCTGGTTTCCCCAATGCTACCTGTCTTAGCTCAAGTTTCTGTTGGCAAACGGCATGAGATAAGAATTAAGTGCTTTGAGTCTACTTGAGAGGTATGATCTTCTGACAGAGAGTGGAGGAAAAAGACTCAGACGCCACATGACGTGTTATATTGCATGAGCACCAAACACTGTGTGAGGTCACATATGAGCAGCCATAAAGAGACATAGCTTCACTTCTCCAGTGCACTTTTTTGTTCACAAAGGATATTATTTTATTTTTTCTTTTTAATGTTGTAAGTTCCTTTACCATTAATCTCTCCCCTACTTCTATCAACCCCCAAATATGCAGGGTCCAGTCTTTCATTTCCTAACCCTTTCCCCCAAAAGGTGCTACCTCTTACCCAGGCAGCTGGGGTAGGGGCGAGACTTCAGATTGGACCCACTTTTAGCTCTCCTTCCCCCCAGCCTGGAGCCAGGAAGGAACGGTGACAGAGGGATGGAGAGGTGATTGGCACAAGGGCCTGAGAAGCACTCTAGCCTGAGCTCTGCGTCTCCAGACCTGGTCCCTGTGTGGGAGAGTCAAAACATAACTGGCCGGACCTGTCACATCTAGCAGAGGCAAAACCCTTTCCCAAATAACCCAATTAAAGTTGTGCGTTTTCAGTAAGGTCATGCCTAGTGTTTTAAAACTGTGGCTGTGGACATGCTCCTAGTTCTGGCTCTCTACCAAACTGGTTATCGAGGGTAGAAGGGAGAGGCAGGCCCTGCCTGCCTTGAAATACTACAGGTTGTACCAGGAGAGCAGCCAGCCTGGGGTAGAAGCAGCCAGGCCCCAAGGGTGGCTGATCCACACATCATAGATGCTCCTGTTGAGTGATACTCCCTAGAAGAGGGAATCTAGATCACAGAGCAGGTTCTGGGACCCTTAGGATTCAATGCCTATGCTCCAGCAGGCTGCACTGATTGAAGATGGGTACTGGGGGCAAAAAGTGGAAGGGAGTGTGGTCAAGGGCACTACTCCATTGGGAATGTAGATGGGCAAGTAAGAGGTGGGAGGTTGTACACTCAGGGAGGCTCTGTACCCTGATGGACATCGCATGGGATCTAGGGAATCCCTGAAGTAAGCAAACCAGCCAGGTGCCTTGCTATGGGGAAAGGTGAAAACATCTCCCCCTCTATATTTGTGGACCCAAGAAAGGAGCAGGGTGGGGTACAGGGGTTTCTCAGAGAAGTTAAGGGGTATACAGGGCACATCCTTTCCTCCCCCTTGGACCTGGTGCCTGCCTGAGCTGAGCTGCTCTGTCCAGCTAACATAAGCTGCTGGAGTCACGTAGATCCTTCCAAGGGTTCGCTAGCAGGGACCTGATGCCGCAACCCTCTCTGGATGGTGATAGGGACTGGGTGGCCAATAAGGCCGGCCATGGAGCACGTAGAGGCTCAAGTCCTTGGTAAAAGCTCTGTGTGTGCCCTGGATCTGCCATCATCAGCCCAGGGCAGTGTTCTGAAGGCACAGCGCCTCTGCTGAGATCAGGCCCACATCCACTGCATAGAAGCTGCCCTTGGCCTGGGGCTTCGCAAGGTCCTCAGGCACCTTCTGGAAGCACCAGCTAAAAGAAGAGTTGTGGTGAATCAGAGTCCCTCCAGCCCTCGTAATCATCCCTGAAGAAAGGGAACACTGCCTGGACCTGATGGGTGATCTAGGCCAGCTTCAGTCTACAGAAAGGTGCGGCCTGAATTATCAATGTGATCGTGGCCAAGTAGGTGTAGGGGCTTGTCCTGCCATAGGTATCTCTTCCTCCTCTTGGGGGATTGAAGGGAGACTCAGCCTTTGGAGGCCTCAGACAAGAGTTGTTGAAAGGCACCACACAATGGAGGCATCCCTCTACAAAAGATGATCTTAAAAAGACATGTTGGCAACTCTGCACCGTGGACCAGCCTGTGAGAGGAGGCGAGGGAAGGAAGGCTTTTGGCTTCCCACCACTTGTTTGCCATTGGCAGAAATTTGACAACTCGAAAAATTCACTTCCCTCCATTTCCAAGTTGACCCGTCTGTCCCCTTGGCAATTAGTTCAGGACGTCAGGTCATACACCCCACAGCAGTGGCAGGTCTCCAAGTACCCAAGCGCTTAACCAGATCACATATAAAGAGCCCAAGGAGAGGGGCCGGACCCTAGACAGGCAATAATGGAACTCAGGAAATGAAGCCATGTAGACCCAAGCTGAGGAGTGGTTGCAGTACCTCTCAGAATGAAGTCGTGTCCGTGAGTAGGTCTCTCAGAAAGCTTGGCACAGTGGGGCTGAGGTGAACAAATAGCTGGGGTCCAAGAGACTAGGTCACCAGAAGAATCAGAAAAGGCAGATAAGAGGTAGTCTATATAGACTTCTTTATTCATTGTCTTTTGGTGCCTACTAGGTACCCATAACCTGCTAGACTGTGGGAATCAACACAAATAAATAATCTGGGTGGTGGTGGCGCACACCTTTTTTAGTCCCAGCACTCGGGAGGCAGAGGCAGGCGGATCTTGGTGAGTTCGAGGCCAGCCTGGTCTAGAAGAGCTAGGTCTAGGACAGGCTCCAAAGCTACAAAGAAACCCTGCCTTGAAAAACAAAAACAAAAGACAGTTGTCCTCCAGATATGCCTGCCTCTACCTCCCGAGTTCTAGGATTAAAGATGTATACAGCCACTGCCCAGCTCAAAATATTTATATAAAGATACAAAAACAAGGTTGGGGAGATGGCTCAGTGGTTAGGAGTGTTTTCTGCTGTTGCAGGGGACCCAAATTCAGTTCCCAGCACTGTGAGGTGTCTCACAACTTCCTGTAACTTCTTTGGCCTGTGTAGGCACCTACACTCATATGTACATATCCATAGTTATAATTACAGTTAAAAATAAAATAAATCTTTAACTTAAAAATACACAGAAGCAGGGTGAGTAATCAATGGAACAGGAAAGAGAGCTCTGAGAAAAATGCCAGTAAACAGAAAAACATCATGAGGCAACGAGAAGAAATCCTAGCAATTAGAGAGCCACTCTGAGAAGTAAGGGCATGGAAACACGTGAAGAAAGGGAGGGGGCTTGAGTCATTGCTCTGCATAAGTGGGGCATACTTAACTCTACACTCAACTTCCGAGTTAGTAAAACAACATCTATGCATTCCTTACTGAAGACAGGATCAGAGGCTCATCCTTAAATAGGACAGCCACT